GTATCAAGCGCGAATATTGTGTCCATTTTTGCCCCAACTGTTCAGGGTTGGACCTCTGCAGACATATCCAGCTGCGCTGGGCGAAGCAATTTATTAAAATTGGAATTCTTCCTTTGTCCATTATTATAGTTAAATCAACTACAATCAATGCTTTATACAATGCAATGTTTAATTTTGATCAAGATCAAGTTGAATTTGGGTAGTGTCACTTTAACCATTATTGAGTTATGCCCCATTATAAATCGAAAAATTGCAAAATTTTTAGTTTCCGTTCTGTAACTTAAGTTTGCCCCAATCAAACATGAAACCTATACACAATACATATTACCACAAAACTAAGATCAAGTACAAATTTGGGTAGCGTCACTTTTATTGTTCTTGAGTTATGTCCCTTTATAATGTTGTATGCAAGCGGGGGCATATCTGTGTCCATGGGGACACATTCTCTATTTATTTATTATATGAGAGAAGGTCAAAGTGGGACCCAAAACTCTCTAATGTAAAACATTTATTAGGGCCCCGCCGAATGGTGGACACCCTATAGTGATCAGTCTGTCCGTCCGTAACAAATTGTGTCCGCTCTATATCTAGAGAACTGTTATGATTTCAAAGTTTATACTTGACATGTATATTAACCAACACCAGAGGGTGTGTCATAATGTATGTACAACTTCCAAGGTCAAAGGTCAAGGTAAAAAACTTTGGTTTTAGTTGACAACCCCATGTCCTATGGTAAAGATTGTGTCCGCTCTATATCTTGAGAACCGTTATGATTTCAAAGTTTAAACTTGACATGTATATAAACCAACACCAGAGGGTGTGTCATAATTTATGTACAACTTCCTAGGTCAAAGGTCAAGGTCAAAAACTTTGGTTTCAGTTGACAACCCCATGTCCAATGATAAAGATACAAATTTTTTACCACACATTATTCACAGTGGGGCCCACAGAGATGGCTCCCATCTCAATGATATCTACTTTTCTTTCAATTATTTTACTTGTTTTTCTTTCACTGATCATTTGTTTCTTTTCTTTAAAATTTTTTTTTCTTAAATATGTACTTGGTCAACTAGAAATAAAGTGATAGACAATTATGCTTATAGTTTTAAAGTTATATTTATTACTGTAAAAGTAAGAAAAAATAGATCTGTTAAATGAAATGATATTTATTTTTAAAGATATTGAAAAAAGGTGTTTATAATGCAGACTTTGAGCTAATATAACATTTATTGATAACTATATAAGAATTTAGGTAAGTGTTGATAGCTGCAACCATTTCTAAAAATAGACAAAAATTTAAATGAATAGCAAAAAATTCTGAAAAACTCTTTTAATTGGCAAGTGGAGTCATTATTCCCTATAAATGTGCCTCAATGCAAGGAATCCAATTTGGTTAGTAAGTCATATATATAAATGGCTCTACTAAAGAAGTTGTTTAAACTGGGGAAAATAAATTTTATACAAAACCCTGAAAATTGAACCACATCTCTTATAATGTCTTAACTTAGAAAAAAAGCCATTTGACATATATATCCAAGTTTAAGAAATGGAAAAAAGAATTGAAGGAGAAAGTGTGATAATGCACCATAAATTAAGATAAACACAGTCTTATAGTAGATAATCTAGTATGCAGAGTAGAGAAATCATAACTGTCATTGGTGGACATTAATATTTCATTTAAAACTAAGAAGATCTAGTATGATTGCCAATTAGAAAACCCTCCACCAAATGATGTAGAAGTTAGCAACTAAAGGTCACCATATGGTATATAATATATCAGTGACCGCCGTGGATTGTAAACTTGGAATTGATAGTAAATAACAAATACACTTTATTTATAGTATATGTATGTTCATAGTATACAGAAAAACGGAAAACAAAAAATAACTGACTTTGGAAAAAAAGGGGAGGGCTAAAAAAAATTGTCCTGTCACCAAGTACCTATGACTTTTGATACCTTTTCTGAAATGCTCAAGTCATAAAATCTTTTACAAAAATTCATCCTACAACAGTTTACATACTTTCAACCACTCTCTAAATGCCCACGATTTTGCGGATGTGTTCTAGTTTAATTTAATTTGGAACACAGCATTTTATTTCAAAATAGCCAGTGGCCATTTTTGTTTTAATATCTTGATTAGGATATAATGAAATCTTACCCTTGTGGTCATTCGTGCGTAGTTACTTAGTACACAGAAAAAGTATGTACTATGAAAATTAGAAGGCAAATTCAAGCAATTTGATTGGACGAGAAGTTGTAAGTATGTGCTAAAAAACTGCAATGCCTTTTCTTTGTTTGCTACAGATAGTTAGACCTTAGTAAAAATTAGTGACATATACCAGATATTACAGTATGTCAACTTTTGATTCTTTGAATTCCAGTAATAGAAATGAATCTCTGCATTTTCACCACACTTTAACATGCAGTGCACAACTTTATATTTTTTTCTTCCAGTTTCAATGGACTATGTTTTCTCTTGACCCATTTTCTCTGTGTGTATAGGTGAAATATTTCTTTTACAAGCCCTTTTTAGCTCACCTGGCCTAATGGGCCAAATTTTACCATTTTTTTTCATTTTTGCCTTTTATCTTGAAAACTAAATAATAGATACAGAGAAACATTAAATACCAAAAATGATCAGCAAGACAAGTTCTACAAATAAGTTCACTTTGTATAAATCGTCAGTCGACTCCTTATTAGGATTATTGCCCTTTGATGATGATTTTTACCAATTTTTTGCGTTTTTTTCTTATTTCTTAAAAATTATCATAGATAGATAGAAACTTCACTAAGCAAAAATGATCGTCAAGAAAAGATCTACAATTAAGACAACTTGGAGGAAATTGCCCGACAACTCCTTATTGGAGTTATTGCCCTTTAATGACGATTTTTACCTTTTTTTTTTTGGCATTTTGCCTTATATGATAAAAATTTTAAAAGATAAATAGACACTTTAAATAACAAAAATGATCAGCAAGGCAAGATCTACTATCAAGTCAAATTTTTTCCAACATAGTTAGTAGACTGTCACTCTTTATAGGAGTAACTGCCCTTAAATGAAGATCTTTTTTACCCTCTTTTGTGTTTTGAGCAAAAACTAATGAAGATAGATAGAAACTAAACAGACTAAATGATCAGCAATACAAGATAAACAAAACATAGATTTTTATACGCCCGTTTACGGGACGTATTATGGTATACTGTTGTCCGTCTGTTCGTCGTCAACATGTCGGACATTAACTCAAAAATGCTTTAACCAATTTGCATAAAACTTTGGTGAATTGCTTATATCTATTGACGTGAGCTCCCTTTCGTTTTTTATAAAATTTAGATTTTACGTTTCCGAGTTATGGGGTCTTATTCATTAAAAAAAGGGGGATTTTCCAGTTTTCGGACAATAAGTCAGGAATGCTTTCACCAACTTGCAAGAAATTGTGGTGAATTGTTTATATCTATTGACATGAGTTCCCTTTTGATTTTTATAAATTTTAGATTTTACGTTTCCGAGTTACAGGGTTTTATTCATAAAAAAAGGGGGGATTTTCCAGTTTTCGGACAAAAAATCAAAAATACTTTCAGCAATTCTTATGAAACTTTGGTGAATTGTTTGTATGTATTGATATAAGCTCCCCTTAGAATTTTATAAATTTTACACTTTACATTTCTGAGTTATGGGGTTTTATTCATTAAAAAAAGGGGTGATTTTCCAGTTTTTGGACTCATAAATGCTGTCACCAATTCTCATGAAACTTTGGTGAATTGTTTATATCTATTGATGTAAGCTCCCTTTTTATTTTCATAAATTTCTAATATGACATTGAGAATTAATTGAACTTTATTTGTTCATAGTCTGACAACAGATTTACCAAGTATTGCACAACAGCAAGAAATCTTTAATTGAATATAAATTCAATTCATATAACCAATTTCAAGTTCTTTGACTACATTTATTCAGAAACCTATAATATGTCAAATATTTAATTACAATCCAAATTCAGACCTGAATCAAGCTTGAATATTGTGTCCATTTTTACCCCAACTGTTCAGGGTTGGACCTCTGCGGGCGTATCTAGCTGCGCTCAGCGAAGCAGTTTATTGTCATGAATTCTATTGTCATCTACAATGTCTGAGAGTGGCCTTTGTTGAATATGCACATAGACCAAGGTGAGCAACACAGGCTCTTTAGAGCCTCTAGTTTACTGTAATTTTCACAAATTAAGTAGCATTATTTGAACATTAAATAAATCAAATTATTTTTTGAAATGAATCGTTCCTTGGTCTACATTACATAGAGCTGTTAGACTAACATGCAACAGCTTTTTCCCTCAAATTACACTGTGAAAATATATTTATAAAGGAATATGGTTAAATCAGTAGGTATGAAATTCACATTTGCTATTTATGTTTTTCACTTGAATGATTTTTTTTAACATTTTGTCTCAAAAATAAATGATGTAATAAACTGTATCAAAACTGGTTCAGTTATAGATAAAAACTGGACATCTGTCTCAAAAATAAATGATGAAATGTAGATTATATAAACTAGATCAGAGAGAGAAAAAAACAGGACATTCCCCAGACTTTGCTTTGTACCATCTTTTTTTACTGTTATTGCTTATTCAATTTACAGTGAGAGTGTTTGAAAAGATTCTTTCCAAATTCAGTAGCTATGCACACTGTAGGCATCCAAATACCTGGTTACACTGTAAGCATCTAAATACCTGGTTACACTGTAGGCATCTAAATACCTGGTTACACTGTAGGCATCTAAATACCTGGTTACACTGTAGGTATCCAAATACCTGGTTACACTAGGAATCTAAATATCTGGTTACACTGTAGCCATCCAAATATCTTGTTTCACTATAGGCATCCAAATACCTGGTAACACTGTAGACATCCAAATACCTGGTTACACTGTAGACATCCAAATACATGGTAACACTGTAGACATCCAAATAACTGGTTACACTGTAGACATCCAAATACCTGTTTACAGTGTAGACATCCAAATACCTGGTTACACTGTAGACATCCAAATACCTGGTTACACTGTAGACATCCAAATACCTAGTTACACTGTAGACATCCAACTACCTGGTTACACTATAGGCATCCAAATACCTGATTACAGGGTAGATGTAGGCATACAAATACTTGATTATACTGTAGACATCTGAATACCTGGTTACACTAGACATCCAAATACCTGGTTACACTGTAGACTTCCAAATACCTGGGAACACTGTAGACATCCAAATGCCTGGTTACACTGTAGACATCCAAATACTAGGTAACACTGTAGACATCCAAATGTGGTTACACTGTAGCCATCCAAATACCTGGTTACACTGTAGACATCCAAATACCTGGTTACACTGTAGACATCCAAATACAGGGTTACACTGTAGATGTAGGCATACAAATACTTGATTATACTGTAGCCATCTGAATACCTGGTTACACTATAGGCAACCAAATACCTGGTTACACTGTAGACATCCATATGTGGTTACACTGTAGACATCCAAATACCTGGTTACACTGAAGGCATCTAAATACCTGGTTACACTATACACTATAGGCATCCAAATACCTGGTTACACTGTAGGCATCCAAATACATGGTTACACTGTAGATGTAGGCATCCAAATACTTGATTATACTGTAGCCATTTAAATACCTGGTTACACTATAGGCAAACAAATGCCTGGTTACACTGTAGACATCCAAATACCTGGTTACACTGAAGGCATCTAAATACCTGGTTACACTGAAGGCATCTAAATACCTGGTTACACTGAAGGCATCTAAATACCTGGTTACACTAGACATCCAAATACCTGGTTACACTATAGGCATCCAAATACTTGTTTATACTGTAGCCATCCAAATACCTGGTTACACTATAGGCAAACAAATACCTGGTTACACTGTAGACATCCAAATACCTGGTTACACTGTAGCAGATAGTTTATAAATAAGATGATAAGATATTTTTTGGTTACACTGAAGGCATCTAAATACCTGGTTACACTGTAGACATCCAAATACCTGGTTACACTGAAGGCAGCTAAATACCTGGTTACACTAGACATCCAAATACCTGGTTACACTGTATGCATCTAAATACCTGGTTACACTGTAGCCATCCAAATATCTGGTTATACTGTAGGCATCCAAATACCTGGTTACACTGTAGACATCCAAATGTGGTTACACTGTAGCCATCCAAATACCTGGTTACACTATAGTGGTTACACTATAGGCATACAAATACCTGGTTACACTGTAGCAGATAGTTTATAAATAAGATGATTATGTATTTTTTAGGACAAAAACATGGAATGGACCTGAAGACCAATCTGTTGTTCTGCATGTTGACTGGCTTAGTTCAGTAGATTGGTTTCAGCTGCCTATACCCCTGCTATGATGTACAGTACATTGGTTTTAGCTGCCTATACCCCCTTCTATTATAAAGCCTTCACATTCAGTCATTCAGACCCTTGTCTGCAGTGACTTGGGTAATTGTGGAACTATGTGAAAAAAAAACAGATTAGGTTAAAATCTTGCAATTAATTATATTTTGTTAAAGTGCCTTAATATGAAATGAAAATTTCTTCTTCTATTTCTGACAGTTTGAGTTGAAATAAGTAGGAAAGCAATGTCAGGTCACTTCCATAGTTGAAATAAGTAGGAAAGCAATGTCCGGTCATTTCCATAGTATCTATGTTCTATTACATACTTAAAAACTGATCTTCTGAAAAATTAGAATTTTCTGCTTTATAAGATATTATTGCTTTTGGTTTTGTTTCCTGTTTTGTCAAGATATATTATTCAATTTATCCATTAAAACTGTATGTGAATAAAATCACAGCGACAGCTGGTTTGATGCATTATGTTAAAGACTAAAAATAAAAATAACAAACGAAAGATATGTACACATTTGGTATTTTACTTGCTTTATTTTTGCTGGTTCAATACAAGATTCTGAAATAGGTTGTTAAAAAAACCTATTTTAATAATAATTATCAGTTTTGTCTTAAAGCATATAAATAAACAACAGCTTTAGACAAATTACATAATACAATATAACAATTTTTTTAACAATTAAAAGGTTTTGCTGCACTCGTCTGAGATATGTAGGCCAGCAGTTTGGGAGCTATTACTTATGTAGAAAGTGTTCTTTCTTAACATGCAGTGTCTACATTACAGATTTTACCCTTCTTAACATGCAGTGTCTACATTATAGATATTACCCTTCTTAACATGCAGGGGCCTCGATGGCCGAGTTGTCTAAGTAGTTACTACTGTAATCACTAGCCAGTCAACACTGAGGTTGTGAGTTCAAACCCCGTTCGTGCGGGTGCACTTGACTCCAATCTTAATTGACTAGGATTGTCAGTTTTCCTATCGAAAGTCGTGGTTTTCTCCGGGCACTCCGGCTTCCTCCACTGGCCGCCATGAAATAGCCCAAAAGCGGTGCTTAAAAGTGGCGTTAAAACACCAAAACTCAATCAATCTTAACATGCAGTGTCTACATTATAGATTTTACCCTTCTTAACATGCAGTGTCTACATTATAGATTTTACCCTTCTTAACATGCAGTGTCTACATTATAGATTTTACCTTTCTTAACATGCAGTGTCTACATTATAGATTTTACCCTTCTTAACATGCAGTGTCTACATTACAGATTTTACCCTACACGTCAATTAAGGTTTCATATCAAACTTTTTCGTTGGAGATTTTATCCAAAGAAATATTTTTTCTTAGTTTATGAAATGATGGTCAGATCAATTTTCTAAGAAATCTTCTACCTCAGAGGACATTTTGATAATATCCGATGATCAGTTTCACAAAAATTCTCATGTCTTAAGTTGATAGTAAGTATACTGAATTAATAATGACTTACGATCAACTTTAGTGGGAAGATTTTTTTGTGAAACTGATTACAGTACATCTACTTGCAAATAGATAATTTTAATAATAAAAAATAAAGGAAGAATTTACCATTATTTTTAAATAGACTTGTTATTGTCTGAGCATTGATTGGCTGTCTAGACAATATGTCAGTTGTATAACACCAAGCCTGACATTTAAATTTTAGACAAAGTTTGTCCCTTCATCAATAACTTCACATATATATTCATTCCTTTCCACCCTGTCTGTAGAGTATGCTATAGTGTTAAGTTTGAATACTTTCAGGTTTAAGACAAAGGTTGTCACAAGTAATGTAGCAGTTGGTAAAAGGTCCATGTCCTTTCTATAATGATCAATCTTTCAGGTGGTCTTTGTCTATGGAATATTTGAATGTAATTAAAACTTTTTCTTATAAGAGTCAGACTTGATAGACACAACATCAATATTATTATGAATAGTAGCAGGTACTTAAAGGTTTCATTGCTTCCTATGAAGATCATTCTTTGAGATGGCCCCTATCTGTTGAGAATGCATTTTCAATATAAACATCATATAGAGTAATTTTTCAATACACAGACTCATTATTATTATTATCAAATGCAAAATCTCTTTCCTTTCTTGATAAGAGGGTAGGAATGGGGTACCCCACATGACGAATGACGGTAAAATATTTGTTAAAATAATGTTAGTGTCTAAACACTTTGCTCCATTTGACGCTTACAGTAGCTACAAAATGAGATTTGACGAATGACGATAAAAAATCAAGGCTCATTTGACGCTAACTGTAGCGAAAAAATTGACATTTGATGCTTGATGATAAAGGATTCCTACCCTCTGATAAGGGACTATTACTGACAAGACCTGAGACTTATAACTTTTGCATCTGCTCCAACAGAATTGTAGTTTTGTGTACTTATCAATAAAAAATAATAGCATTTTACCAACATTTGATTTTTCGTATATACATTTAAACAAATTTAATGAAGAAACTTTAGTAACATGTAAAAGGGATTAATAAAATTGCCCTTAAATTGTTCTTCCAATGAATCTAGTGTAAACATTTTTTTTTTATTAATGTGCATACATAATAAATCAAACTAATAACTTGTCAGGAAAAGTCAAAGTTTAATAGAACACATTTTATTAAATGCACTTCAGACCAAATTTATTTGTGGTTAGGGTTTCTAATTTCAAATAATTACTGGATGGGTATTAGTAACCTTCATTAATTCACTAATTTCCTTGAATATTGTTCAACAGGAAAACTCACTTTTGGAAATATGGTTGTAACATTTAAAGGGTTACAAAAGTTACATTAATAACACTGAAAATTAAACTCTGTATATTAGCAACAAAGTAAGGTAATTTTGTATTGATATTTTAAGTACGAAGACCAGATACTATCACTTATGGATCTAGCCACTAAAGTAATAATACAATTCCTGTTTAATAGAGACATTAATGTCATATTTTGCTATTTTGTAGCAAAAAGTAAAATAAACCAAACATATCCCCATTCTGGCTATTAATTTGATAGATCTTGTTCCTATTGAAATTTGTGTCACTTGTAATCTACCACTTATCATTGTATTGAAGAGGAGCATAGACTAACTTTCAAATTTAGAAATCTTTTAAATTCTTTTGAAAGAAATGTTATGTTCCAAAGCAAGCTTAGATGTTGCTTCAGGTCTTAAAACAGTACGTTTTTTCAAAATCTTGTATCCTCCCAATATTACTTTCAGATAACAGAAAATTTGTCATTTTCCTGTCTTAATCAAATTGAATGCAATAGAGTTTTTATATGCCTGTCAAAAGACCAGGCATACAATTATATACAAATGTCTGTCCATCTGTATGTCAACACTTCGTATGATAACTCAATTTGCTTTAAACCATTTTCATTTAATCTAAAAACAATCTTAGGATTGACGGATGAATCTCTCTTTCGATTTTGAAATTTTTTAGCTTTGTCGTTCTAGAGCTACGGGACTTAGTGTTAAATTTAAGGCAATTTTTCACATATGGCGCATTAACGCTAGTATTTCCTCAAAACTTTACATTATTGTTAGGATTGATAAAAGGAAGCTCACATTCAAATTTTTTTAATTTTCTTGTTTGTCTTTCTAGAGTTACAGAACTTTAATTGTCAGATTTAAGTAAAAGTTTTCATATGTTGTACCATCACTGTGGGGTCTATATTGCATTCACCTTGTCCATCCTTCTATTTGTCTGTTCTTCCAACAAATATTTCAATCAAACTTTTCTCAGCTACTAATGAACAGACAGATCTCACATTAGGTCAGCAGCTTGGCTATGATGAATTGTAAGCACTTTTCTGTTCTGTTGGACATGTACCTAACTACCTAATAATTGATACTTTTGAATTTTTCAATATATGTTGAATGAACTTAAAAAATTTCGTTACACTTTTCTCAAGTACTTCTGAACAGAATGACTTCAAATTTCGTCAACAGACTAGCAGTGATGAGTCCTAATGTGTGAGCTCTTTTCAGATCTGTCTGATACCTTTTTCCTGTTTTCCAAAACTTTGAATTACAAGTTGGTGTGCCTTAACTGGAGAACACATGCAATTTCTTTTTCATCTCTGTGATTAATATACTTTTTTCCTCATTCTTCTTAATTTCTATGACAAGGCTTCGAGGGATCAGTGGAGGCTATTGTGAGTCTACATACAGATCATAAGTATAAAGGGTAATAGACAATATTAAGAATACCAAACCAAAATGATTGCAAAAATAATTATGAAAATGAAGTGTCCAGAAAGAGGAAGAATATCTAATCTATTGATTGTTTGATTGATTAATGGTTGCTTAACATCCAGTGGCAAATATTTCATGCATGTTTAGGACGAGAAGAAATTAACAATAAATACAATAATGGAGGCCATCCAGACTGAAGGTCAGGGAATTTTAGACGGCCGCTGAAAAATGAGGATACTGTGGATTCATTTATTTTCGTGGGTACCAATTTTCATGGATTAAGGAAAAATTATATTTTCATGGATATTTGATTTCGTGGTTTTTCAAAAAGTTGTAAACAAGCCTATGGTCGATTATTACTTCGATGAACATTTAAATTCGTTGTTTCCCTGTACCCACGAAATCAACGAAAATTGATACTCAACGAATATTAAGGAATCCACAGTATATTGGATAGGTACAGAAATTTGGTCCTGTAACAGGCCACCTACGGACCCCTCAAAGAATTGTTACAAGGGTTCTAATCTATGGTCCAAAGTTGATAAATGATCATACACAAAAATCTAGCACTTTTAGCAGTTATGCTACATCATCGTAATTCATACTTGTAGCAGATAAGAGACCAGAGTTCTCAATTTGTGTGAGCTACTTTTGACTTTTGAGCTGCATAGGATGAAATGAAAAAAAATTGAATAATTCACCTGCTAAGACAGAAATGTCTGTACAGGTGTTAATAGTATAATAGACAAAATACCTCACAAAATGGTATCCAGACACAATAAGGGTGCAGGGTTTGTATAACATGATTGGCTGTTCAGAAATAGTGATTTATGTGTAATATTATCTAATTTTCTGATTGGTTTAAAATACCTTTAGTGATTATTCAATAATGTAGCTTTTATTGTTTTCATTTTTGATGTACAAATATAAAAATGATTTTTTGTGAGATTGTTACAGACCAACAGACATCTTCTATAGGTTCGTTCTAAATTCATGATTTTGTTTGTTTCTAATTTGCAGAATGCATTGCAGTTTTCGTTGAGGTATCTGAAGAATATTTTGAATCTTGGGTTTTACAATAATGACAATAGATGAATGTAGATTATATAAAGTATATAAATATAGATTGTATCACAATACACTTATAATTTTTAATTTTTAACACAGGTGTATGAAAATAGATTTAAAATTCGAAAATTAAACTTTCAATTTTAGATAAATGTACAATTGATGGGGTTATGGAATAAAATCTGTTTCTCTAATGATTTGATGAAAACAATAGAATACTAGATATGATATTCTGAATAAGGTTAGACAGGATATCACATGCGACAAATGGTTTATCCTAAATGTATCCAAATGATCAGAACTAGATTTAATGCACAAATAAAAGAGAAATAAAGATATTCTACTAAAGTTTACTAATGCATCTCTTTTTTGAAAAGCGGATAAAAATGTGAAAAATCACAAAACATACATCTATTACTTGCATCATGGTCTTTTAGCAATCACATGTTACTAGGAGGAGTCCATAATTATAATTTTTTTTTCATTTTATTTATGGACTAGCTTTTCAGCCATGTACATCTGTGTTTGCCAAGTAACTATTTTGTAATGCTATTGTATATTTAAAAACTGAATATGTTAAAACATACTTTTTTTTGTTCCAGGTTGTCTATGTGCCATCCACATCATCAACTGCATCAACTAATCAGGATAATATCGAGCATCAGACCGCTTTATTACGTGAACGCAATATCATAATGCAATCAGCACAAACTTCTGTTCAATTACCGCCCCATATCCCTATATCCAAGGATGGGGAGGAGGGTTATATAGAAAGTCAGAACAAATTGGAACGTCATCGAAGGAGTGATTATCAAATATGCTTTCGACCACCACCAAATAAAACTGTATATGATAAGGACAGTCCCCCTCCTTATAGTTCTAGGTCTACTTCCTCGATAGATAGCATTGGCCAAGCCAAAAATAGTAATTTAGTAACAGACAATAATGGATGCCCTGTGTTGCGTTGTTACAGTATGTCAGAAAATAACAATCATTCGTGCTTTCAACAACCGCAGCAGTTTTCTAGAACTTCTGTGTCCTCAAGACAACTTAGGCAAACTACTAGTAATACTGGAGTAAATATGGACCGACCTCCCGATTATCCAGGAGGAGTCTTAGGAACAAACGTTTATCATAACAGTGCAGCGCCAGCAAAAAATTCTGTATGATTGTCGGTTGGCAGCCATTTTATCTCCTTCCATGTGCTTATTAAATTATTTGAACGGAGATGAAGCTATTGTGATATTCTTTTGGTTAGGTCTATCATTTGACAAAGGGCATGCCATTTTTTGTGATACATATCTTTATGAGAGAGCTATAGAACTTGATTGTCCCTGCTCCTAATTAAGCATTTTATGTTGAAATGGACAGCAGCACTTATTATCATCGTTATTCTTTGTGGCTTTACTGAATAGTTTTTAGAAGATTTATTTTGTTCTAATTTCAATATTGATGTTGATGTAGGCCAGTACATAAGTAGTCATACTTCATTACAGATCGAAACACTTTTTTTCTTGAACCTGGAAAGTGATTTTTTTTTTTTTTTTAACTAAATCTGTAGCTATCTGGTTGTGCCAAAATAATAAGTCAGGTTGTTTTTAGAACTAATATCTGTAATACATTACTAAAATGAGAAACAAAAGTCAGTTATTAAGTGTAATCCCCATGTAGATTATGGTTGCTTAGAGTAAGCATATGAAATCGAAATTTAGGAAATGAGGTATTTGTAATGTATTTTATTAATGTTCCATTATTATTATTGCTTTCAAAAGTTTTGAGGAAAAGAAATATTTGTCCATGTTAAATTTCACAGATACCTTCCTTCTCTAAACTAAGTTTCATTATTACATATATATATATTTATTTTTAGAATTAATTGAACCAAGGATTTGTATAGTCACTATACAAATCCTTGATTGAACTTTAAAAAAAATAAAGAGTTTTCTGTTTTTAACCAAAACACATTACATTGGTAAACATTGCATTATATATATTTCAGTCAGTATTTAAGGGGGAATATATTATTTAGAAAACAACAAAAGGGCTGTCACATTAATATTTTTTAAGAATAAAATTTAAAAAAAGTTAATAGTAATAATACACTTATTTAAAAAGTTTTTATTAAATAGGACTTGAAACTAGGTTGGTAAAGAAATAAAACCCAATATGGCATTATTGTTAACTATTGTAGTGACACTTTGAACTAAACCAAATTATGACATTACAGAAATATACAAAATGACAGGAAATTAAAACTTCAACTCAAAAGAGAAATTTTTTGTTCCAAGGGAAATGACATTTGCAGAATTGAAAACTTCAACATTCACTTTTGTCATTAATAATTTATAGGTTTTCAATTAAAGAAAATGCAATAATTTTAAAGGAAAGGAAAATGTCGGCAGTTTTTTTAAAGAACTTTTTCCTAAGAAGATGGAAGGGTAATATTGAATTGTCTTGTTCTAAAGATACCAGAGTTGGTTTTAGATGAATTAATTTCCACACATCCATATTATTAAAACTATTATTGGTCCTTTCTGGTCATGCAAGACTTTGTCTTGTTAATTGATAAATTGAATATTTTTTCAGTATTATGTAAAAATGCATTACCTGTATTAGAAGAATGATAATACATGTACCTGTATTCACGTAACATATTTAAAATGTCAGGATTCAAATCACTCTTTTATAATCTAACGCATTTCTGGGTAAAATTTTCAAAATATAGAGAAAATTGTTATGATGGGTAAAGAATGTCCTATACAATGAAAATCCATACAATGGCAAACTACAAATATTCATAAACCTTTACTTTAAGTTTAGATCCTCAAACGACAAATTCAGGGTTTTATTAGTATTATGAAATACTGGTTCTAAACAATTTTTTCCAAAAATAGGCATTTCATTGCAATCAAAACTATTTTGATGACTTTATTTAAGTTAATGGGACCATTTTTGTGTGTCTGATGAATGAATTTTGGATAGGGGGTTATATCATGTTAACACTTTGTCATTTTTATTTACAACTGAAACCATACTTGTATAAACCAGTTTCTATTTTAAAATGGTCAGCTCATTTTAATAAAATCTTGAGTTTTATTTTATTAACAATTATTAAGTGAATATTGTTCAGATGAAGCAACTTTCCTAGTCAGAGTTGCATTCAAGCTATTTGGGTTTCATCACCTTGCATTTTTATGCACCGGCCTTAAAAGTAAGGGCATTATCTTTTCCATTCCGTGCATCCTTCTCCTTCTCTTTGTCTGTCCTTTGTCTGGTTAAAGTTTAAAGATTTTTAGTCAAAATAGTTTACCATGAAGTTGTGGTATCATCATCTTCAAACTGAGTATTATGATGAGAACTATTAAAAATATATATTACAAAATAGGGTTTTAACTCAGATTTTGTGGTTAAATGAACATGGAAATGTGATAGTGCGAGTGAGGCATGATGTCCTATGGACACATATCCTTGTTTAAAATGGATTTCTATGAAATGAACTGGATAATAATTGTTAAACACACATGGTTTCAGTTGTGATGATAAATAAGATATAAAATAATGCATATATATAAATATTTTCATATGGAATATGCTTGGAAACTCCTTGAGACTGGGGATAGAATAAGTACCGGTAGGCACTCTTTCTCTGACCTGTGACAACAAATTTTATTGTGATCCAGCTATAGTGTCAAGTTTCTTGACTTATTTTTCTTGTAATCTATCTGGAATTTTTCAAAGTACTTATAAGAAAATTTAAGAAATGGACGTTTTTTTTTGTAGGAAATCTTCAATCATACATATGAATGTTTATGTGTAAGAAGGACTTTGCCAACTTGAGATCTTATTGTAATTAGTAATTTGATGGTCTGTAGTCATACTCATTATTAGTCATATGGGAGGGGGGGGGGGGGGCTTTATTTTTTCCCTTCTGGTATTAAAATGACAGCTGTTGACTCTAGTGTAAGACACATAAACAAGACTATTACCATTTCAAGTAAAATTAACACTAATTGTCTGTTGTATCATACACATGTAAAAGACTACATATTTTTACACACTGTGTGTGTAGTAAATTGCATAATAACTGTCTGCTGTGTCTGACACGTTTAAGCGAATACCAGAATGTTTCTATCAATAATTGTCTGTTATATATCAGACATATTTCAATATTATGATTCCTATGATCTCATTGGAGCAAACAATTCTTGTCTATATGTTACTCTCTCCTTCTCTCTTCATCTTGTTTCTCAATTATAAAAACCTATTCTATTTCAAAGAGAAATTACTATGTACATGTATAAATTTCTTTGTTGAATTGTTATTTTTTTTTTGTGACAATTTTACGTGATAGAATTGCATTGCATACAAAATTTCATGTGATTTTTTTGTGATATAATTTGGTTTATCACTTGTTTAAAAAGACTGGATACACATGATTTCAGCATATTTTATCCCTTGTTCAAAAAGATAATTGTGACTTTCACTTGTGTTAAATAATTCAAATAGAGCATATCTTATTATATAAAACTGAACTGTAAATCTGGTCCCATCATTTCCCATGCTTTTTTCTTCTCTAATTAAAATGAGAAATTAAAATTTCTGACTCCCTACATCAGTATTTTATTCTACATTTTTAAAAGACAAAAAGGATAATTTCACTCTATATCAGTGTTATAGTTTAAAAAAACAAAACAAGTTAAACAGAAAAAAAACAGGCCCTAATCAGAACCGATTTGGCATTTTTATATTTTTTGTATCGATTTTTGTTTTAAAGTAGTGTGAAGATGGATTTTATATTGGACATTAAAACTTCTAAAACCAATATGGATGAACTGTTTAGATCTTGATATGCTCAGCATATTTAGTACAAAGAGGAGTAACTCTATTATTTTGAAATTCTTTGGATTAAATTTTTTTTTTACCACAAAAACTGACAGGGTCTGTTAACTGCTATTCTTAAGAAAAATAAGTACCAGTACTATGATGCTATCATTTTTAACCTAGACCCTTTCAAGGATAAATATATCTAAGATTTTGTTATGAAATTTGCCAGAATGCCAATTCAGTTGTATTTAAAACACATTTCTGAACTAAACTTTCCATAGCAATATTTACCTTAACTTTGTTTTTTTTAATGTTCTGGTGTCTATGAAAAATACGCAAATAACTTGAATACATATTAAACTCTGTTGATAAGAAATCTAATGGGCATACTTTGCAGGACTTTAGCCACTGTAACATTGTTATTCATACATGTAATATATTCTGCCTGATAAGTACCCCACTCCATAATTTTTCGATTCAAAATGCTTCCCATTTTTGAAACAAATAATATTGCCATAGTACGACACTATTTGCCTTTATTATCCCAGTACTTAACAGTTAACTGTGATTCCAGAGTGCAGATTTTGTTCAGAATAAATGAACGTTATAAATGGTTGCCTGATGTATAATTTTGTAAGAACTTATCAGGCGGAATGATTTACAGGCATACTCTAAGTATGTCTGTTATATGTATTTGTCTCCTTTGTAAGTACCTAAGGTGCTTTGTATAAAGATCTTCATTTTTGTTTTGTTTTTTTTTTTGTTACACATTACCAAAATAGGTTTATATTTTTAATTGATTGTTGGTAGTTTTCATGCACAATATTCTACACATGCAATGTTGCAGTGAAATAAAGATACATTAATTAACTACATTATTTTTTCACAGAATATCATGAGTGAAGACCAGTTCATTTTAATAGGAAAAAATGTTATTTGACAGGATTTTTGTGAGAAATCTACACATTTTTTTTCGTTTGGAAAAAAGATCATGTTATAATGAGTAGTTTTCAAAGATTACTTGAAATTTTTTAAATATCGAGTTGCAAACTGTATGTACTATCTTCTTCTCCATTTTGAAGTACAATTCGAAAGGTATTACCGGTATGTTTGTAAACAATCCTTTAAAGTAATTTATAATTTGACTCCTCCCATTCAGCACTTTTCTTTTACTGTTATCAAATAATGCAGTCACATAGATCTAGCAGAGCAAACAATGCAATGACAATGTTTATTCTCATATGTGTACTTTATATGTTATTATTATGTGTTTTTGTGATTTTTAAAAGGAAAAAAATATATTTTTATGTTAGTTTGTATGAAAGATATATATATAAAATGATGTTTATTTACATGTAATGTTAAGTAAAAGATAGAATGAAGGTGTTGATAAATGTTTAATTTAATTTCCAAACAAAGTTGACCATTGGTCAGTTAAATAGTAGAGGTGTGCTGAAATAGATGTAATTTGGTTTATGTGTATAGTCTTATGTGTGAATTCTCTCATTACTTTCTGGTCGTATGTTATATGTATAGTGGGATTTGAGTACAGAGTACATGAAGATATGTCCTACATCTTGACCTCTCCAAGTGCAAATGTCATTTAACCAGGGCAACTATCAAAATAGTAGCAACTGGCCTGTTTTCCATAACTTTAGTATAACTTGGATTCAGTAGTAAAATTGATTATTAATATACATAAGGTTATAATACTTTGATTTGAATTCATAAAACAAAAATTGAATAAATTCTGTTGGAAATTACACCTGTATACCCAGAATTATTTGGAAATCAAAATTAGATATACACATTGTATATATAATAAAAATATTTGATACACATCAGAGAAGTTTAAAAAATAAAATGTGTGTTATATATGATATAAAAAGGACAAGTTTTGTTAAGTATACAAAAGGGGAGTCCCTAATTATACAAAGGTTTAATTTGTAATTCTTTTGTTGCTAATCACATGGTAGAAAAATTTGGGAACCAAATTATAGTATGTTAACATAAAGTGTACTATCAAGTCTGCTAAAATATATATTCAATAGACCTTGGTAACCTATACATTTCTTGGTTGACTGGACGTATCACAGAGTACAACTCAGATTGCCTATCTAGTTAACTAGTCATTGACAATTTTGCCTTCATCATAACCTGCATCAGGAATTTGCATGAAATATCTTCCACTGGACGTTAAGCAAGCGACTTTAAATAAAACAGTCAATTAACCTACACATATAGGTCAAAACTATGTCCAGTTTTCAGTCGTGGGTTTTGGGCACTTTCACTCCCCTTAAGCTTGTTCCTTTAGTTGGAATCTAAATTATCACTACTGTTTTGTCAAAAACCAAATTATTTATTTATATGTGAGCATTGTACACAAGAGAGTGTCTGTGTCTGGATATTTTGCAATGGGTGTAGTATGTATTGTATACTTGTATTTCATTTGACATATACTTTTGTTCCCTAATTCATGCTTTGCCCGTCTTTCAGCATGATAATGAAAGATTTAATTTACAAATAGTCAATGCAATTACTGAGTCTGCTTCTTATTGTTCTCCACAAAATGTTAAACAAGCAAGGTTTTAACTGTTGTATATTAATTCAGTTTGCATTTTGTTTATGGTTTTCAATGGAACTCATTTCAAAAACACTTGATTAAGATGCAACTTATATTTATTTCCTTTGATGTAATATTAGTTGTTAGTGCTTCAGATATTTATTTGATATATTAACTTCAACTAATTCAAGAAGAAGAAAAAATATGTCCTAATGCAAAAAATAAAGTAAATTCATTACTAAGATTCAAATGTTTGTGGCATATCAAAAAAATACAAATCTTCAAAATTGATTAAAAAATATATTCATTTGTTCATGGTTTAAACAAGGTTGTAAAAAGGTTGGTTTGGATTTAGTCATTTTTTATTTCAATGAGTATTTTACTTTTCTGAATAATTGGGCATTCATGAGACAACAACACAAAATAAGGAAGCTACCATTTGATTTTTATGGGGGGGGGGGGGGGGGCTAGGATGTAATTTGAAGAAAAAAAAGGTAGGACAGGAGTTTTGAGTAAAAAAAAAGGCAGGATGATAATTTATGTAAAAAAAAGTCAGGATAAACTAATAAAAAAAAAGACAGGACCAAATAGAGTGAAAAATAAAAAGGCAGGACAGAGATTACAACTAAAAAAAAAGGCAGGACAAAATTTTTCATCCTAACCCCCCCATAAAAAAAATTAAATGGTAGCTCCCTAAGCCATAAAACCTACAAAGGTTTTTTTTTCAATAAAACTAACTGAATTGATTTCTTTGAATTTTGTTTTTCAATTACAGATCATATTTGCAATGTAGATTTTTTAGACATCCAGCAACTTTAACCAATAATAGAAATCTGTTCCATGTTTTGACTATAAAAAATGATTTGAAAAAATAAGGATAAACATTGAAGTTTTTGTTAACATAAGCATTTTTAGCAATCATTATAATATACTTTATTCAGAAGACTCCTTTTGTTTTGAAAGTTAATACACCTCCGTTGTCTATATTTAACAAATGATTGTATGTCAGAGTAATGCACCTACTTGGAAGATTCTTCACAGTAGGATTTTTTAACATAACAAAAAATTAGTAGCAGTCAGAGCTGTATGAAATGAAATGAAATGATTTTTTTTCTTTACAATATGAAAAAAAAGAGATTTATGTTTGTGAAAATGTGCATGAAAACTGTCAACATTTCATTGTCAATTGCAGTCTTGTATGTTTGTTTTTAACAGTCTTATCAACTGTTTATGAAAAGTATAAAAGATAATGCTTATTCTCATCTGTTTCACTTGTGTTGTATTTGAGAAAAAGTGCTGAATATAAAAAAGCTATACATTATAAACTAAACTTGTTATTATTATACCTCACTCATGTAGTGTTGGTATACCACAATGCCATTGTCTGTCCGTCTGTCGCTCTATTATGTCCATTCATCTGCCTTAAATTTCTGTTGCATATTACTCATCTTGGGTTTTAAGGAATGATTTGATATTTGATCTTGAACATTAGAATGATGACGATTTTCAGATCTGGATATTCGCTTCCTGGTTGAGGATATGTTGACTTTTTGTCTTGCCTGCAACTACTTAACATGGATGCTATTATGGCAGTTCTGCCATTAGCTCTTTGTATAAAGCTTCATAATTCAGAGGATTTCATATCTTGTATGCAGATACCTTGAGGTAAATTGTTTGTTTTGCCTTTTTGGATTGTGAAATAGCAGTAAGCAATCAGTCTAGATCTTTAATGAAATATGCAAATTTTATGAGAAGAATGCAAGACTTCCTTTTAAATGAAGAAAAGTATGTTTTCTCTTAGTTACGACTGTTTTTACAAATGCAGAATATTTAACTTAGCCATACAAGGGGAGATAACTTAGATAATCCAACTTATGAAATAAATTATGTGTAGTAAATTTACATATTTTGTTTTGTAGCAAGAAAACAAGTCTTGTGACCCCAATTTTAATTTTTATACGGATTTTTTTGCGGTCGTATATTGGTATGACGTTGGCGTCGTCGTCATCCGAAGACACATTGGTTTTCACACTCTAACTTTAGTTTAAGTGAATGGATCTCTATGAAATTTTACCATAAGGTTCAATACCACAAAAGGAAGGTTGGGATTGATTTTGGGGGTTATGGTACCAACAGTTAAGGAATTAGGGGCCAAAAGTAAGCATTTTTATTGTAACTTCCAGACATAACTTGTGTGTTAGTGTATGGATCTCTCTGACATTGTACCACAAGGTCCCATATCACAAAGGGAATGCTGGGATTGATTTGGGGGGTAATTGCCTCCAAATTTTAGGAATTAAGGGCCAAAAAAGGGGGCAAAAACAAGCATTTTTCTAGTTTCATGACAAAAACAAGCATTTTTCTAGTTTCATGACAATAACTTGTGTGTAAGTGTATGGATCTTTATGAAATTGTACTACAAGGTTCCATATCACAAAGGGAAAGCTGGAATTGAGTTTGGGGGTAATTGCCCAAAACGTTTAGGAATAAGGGGCCAAAAATAAGCATTTTTCTAGTTTCCAGACAATAACTTGTGTTCAAATGCATGGAACTCTCTGAAATTGTACTGCAAGGTTCAATACCACAAAAGGAAGGTGGGGATTGATTTTGGGGGTTATGGTACCAACAGTTAAGGAATTAAGGGCCAAAAGTAAGCATTTTTGTAACTTCCAGACATAACTTGTGTGTTAGTGTATGGATCTCTCTGACATTGTACCACAACGTCCCATATCACAAAGGGAATGCTGGGATTGATTTGGGGGTAATTGCCTCCAAATTTTAGGAATTAGGGGCCAAAAAAGGGGCAAAAAACAAGCGTTTTTCTAGTTTCATGACAATAACTTGTGTGTAAGTGTATGGATCTTTATGAAATTGTACTACAAGGTTCCATATCACAAAGGGAAAGCTGGAATTGAGTTTGGGGGTAATTGCCCAAAATGTTTAGGAATAAGGGGCCAAAAATAAGCATTTTTCTAGTTTCCAGACAATAACTTGTGTTCAAATGCATGGAACTCTCTGAAATTGTACTGCAAGGTTCAATACCACAAAAGGAAGGTGGGGATTGATTTTGGGGGTTATGGTACCAACAGTTAAGGAATTAAGGGCCAAAAGTAAGCATTTTTGTAACTTCCAGACATAACTTGTGTGTTAGTGTATGGATCTCTCTGACATTGTACCACAACGTCCCATATCACAAAGGGAATGCTGGGATTGATTTGGGGGTAATTGCCTCCAAATTTTAGGAATTAGGGGCCAAAAAAGGGGCAAAAAACAAGCGTTTTTCTAGTTTCATGACAATAACTTGTGTGTAAGTGTATGGATCTTTATGAAATTGTACTACAAGGTTCCATATCACAAAGGGAAAGCTGGAATTGAGTTTGGGGGTAATTGCCCAAAATGTTTAGGAATAAGGGGCCAAAAATAAGCATTTTTCTAGTTTCAGGACAATAACTTGTAAGTGTATGGATCTTTATGAAATTGTACTACAAGGTTCCATATCACAAAGGGAAAGCTGGGTTTGAGTTTGGGGGTAATTGCCCTAAACATTTTGGGGCCAAAAAACAAGCATTTTTCTAGTTTCCAGACAATAACTTGTGTTCAAGTTTATGGATCTCTCTGAAATTGTACTGCAAGGTACCATACCACAAAGGAAAGGCTGGGATTGAGTTTGGGGGTGATGAATCATAAGGGGGTTCAAAAATTTTGGGGGGGATTTTTTTTCCTTTTTTTTCTTTAAAATTTTCCATTTTAAATTGGTTATTTCTGATTTATATATAAAAGCAAATAATAATGATATTGTTTGAATAGATAAATTAAAAATTTGTAAGTTCTTAGACCACATTCATTCTGTGTCAGAAACCTATGCTGTGTCAAATATTTAATCACAATCCAAATTCAGTGCTGTATCAAGCTTGAATGTTGTGTCCATACTTGCCCCAACTGTTCAGGGTTCGACCTCTGCGGTCGTATCAAGCTGCGCCCAGCGGAGCATTTTATTATTTTCTGAAAGCACATTATAAGAGCTATCTTCTCATATTTATACCTCTAACTACGAAGTCAGTTCGTCGGTCATTTTCCATTTCTGAAAGCTAAATCGAATACTTTATGTTGGAGTATTGGACTGTAACCTAACTTGGATATAGTTTCACACATAATGAGAGGAAAATCCCAAATGATTTTGAGACGTAACCTTGGGCAAAAAAGTAGTTTCTGGATGCTAAATCAAATTCTACATAGGGGATAGCTCCCCTTACTTAGATATATTGTCTCATACAATGAGAGGAATATCTCTATAGATTTTAATTTTACTACATGTATGTCTAAAATCAAAGTTACTTTAAAAAGTGACTGATATATGTGCAGAAAAATGGTTTTAGGATGCATTATATTGGATTACAATCAGACTTGGATATGTGGTCACATATAGATGATGAAAAGGAAGTCACTTAATCTAAGATGTCTTACCAAAAAAAATACATTTGCGTAAGACTATATAACTGTCTAAAATCATTATTTATATTGGGGCATGGGGTATGCCAGCTTACTCACTATAGATTCTTTTAATTTATCTTTAAAATTCTATTTAGTATTTTTATTTGGGTTTTCCATGTATAATATGAACAAAGTCTGACAATTTTGCTCAACCTGTAGCTTGAAAAAAGCTCTGTGACTCATACCTTTCATTCTATTTTGAAAAAAGAAGCATGCTATATACTAAATTTTGGCAAATTATTAAAAAATTCTATTGATAATAATTGAGACCCTCCCATCAACCTTAAGTTTTAGTACAGTGACATGTAACTGTTAGTACCCTTGTCCTTTGGTATTTGGTAGATAGTTTTGTCATATCCAATCATACTATATCTCATCATTTTGTAAGGGAGATATAGCAATCCTACATTAAGTTGTCAACATTTAGCGTAAAATAAAATATGGTATGATTGCCAATGAGAGAACTTTCCACCAGAGTCCAAATAATGTGGATTTAAGCAACTATAGGTCACGGTACGGCTGTCAACTATGAGCAAAACCCATACTGTATAGTCGTCTTTTAAAGATCGCAACATGACAAATGTGAAACAATTCAAACGGAAAAAAAAAATAGCCTGATTAATAACAAAATAATAAAAGAAAAACAGCAACCAACAACCACTGAATTACAGGCTCCTGACTTGGACAGGCACATATAGAATGTGGCTGGGTTAAACTTGTTTATAAGTGCTCAACCCTCCCCTAACCTGAGACAGTGGTGTAACAGCACAATAACAGAACAAACTAAAAATCAGTTGGAAATGGCTCTGCTGATCAGATTGGTACTAAGCAAAATAAAACAACTAGTACTGATTTAAGAGAACTTGTATTTACTGAAATTTGTCCTTAGCCAATAACAACTTATGAATAAATCATGTTCTCCCAGACTAAAGTATCAATCATTACACATCCAACAGATTTAGCGAAAAAAGACACCATAAGTTGTCATAACTGTTAAATGATACATGTTTTAATTTATCAAAAATTAAATCCACGTTTGTAACAATAAAAACAATATCCATAGATCTTTCTACAGTGTTGATATGGTATGAAAGGAACATCACTGTCCTAAAAAAAGAAAATTATTAATATTGAAAGACAAATTGTCTGACATAAATTTTTCCTGTGTGTGAAACTGAAATTTCCAAATCCAGAATAAGACAATTGTTGCTGTAAATATTATGTTTATTTGAAGTAAGTTACCTTTGGTAAATTTTTGCATTATAAAAAGAAAATTGTTGATTTTTAAAATCTAAAATATCATCAAGGTAACTGTAAGTGTTTTAATTAAATTCTAGGATTCTTAACAGTACAGAAACAAGTCCTCTAGTAAAATTTGATTGATTGGTGTTTAACGCCACTTTCAACACTATTGTGCCATATCGCGGCAGTCAGTTTTTATTGGTGGAGGAAGCCAGAGTGCTTGGAGAGAACCACTGACCTTCAGTAGGAAAACTAACAATCCTAGTCAATTAAGATTGGAGTCAAGTGCACCTGCTCTGTTCGGGATTCGAACTCACAACCTCAGTGTTGACTGGCTAGTGATATGGTAGTTCGACTACTTACACCACTCGGCCACCCAGGCCCTTTCCTCTAGTAAAAGTGCACATAAGAATACCTATGACCTGTCTATAAACTTCATCGCAAATCCTACATAGATGTCAAGGAGAAAATTAAAAGGACCATTTTAAATTAAAAAAACTTTCTGTTTGATAAGATTGTGTAGAGAATAGAACAAGTCATAACTGTTAACCCAATTGAATGCACCATCAAACTAATTAATCCATTATTTTCA